TATACATTTTATACATTTTTATATTGCATTTTATATTGCTTTTTTTGTCTATCTACTTGTAATGTCCCTTCTACAACCATAATGGATAATGAGTATAATTATGGCATGTAAAAATGCTTTTATGACAGTTCAAAGTTCAAAGTAAAGTGTCTTTTTAACAGTGCTTTTATACATTGCTTATAGGTGCTGTATTATAAGCTTGTACATGTTGTGTGTCTTCGTGAAAGCAAGAGCACATTTGACAAGTTTTACTGTATACTTTTAAAGGTCAAGGCTAAATAAAACAACCTATCTTTATTCTTTTATGTTGGCACTGGAGAGCTTATGGGTGGAAGGCGTAAACAGGAAGTCAAGCCACAAGATGCTGAATTATTCATTGACACACACAATTTATGTGTTCAAAAGTATCTCTCTGTGTTTGTCCCAGTAAAGGAACATGTTTTCAGTCAGTTTTGTACTATAAATAAGGCTGTGCCTCTTTTTGCTCTGTAACAACACACATGTAACACCTATCACTTGTGTCATGGTTCTTGCCCAAATACAACCTTACTTCACTTCACTATCGGAGTATTGGAACACCTTAGAGACCTTGCAGAAAGGGATCTTATAACATTTTATTTAAAATGGGGGATTGTGATATTGTAAATGACTGAATACTGATATATTTCATCATTATGAATACTGTTTTGGAATGACTCTGCTTATTTATATTATGGATTAAAGCCCTTGTGTGTTTGACTTTGGCGACTCCTAGTGATCATATAAAAAAAGACACTGTGGCAAACAGCAGTGTATACCAACCCCTGCCCCTCATTAACCTTGTAGATGTGACCCAAAAAAAAAAAACATGCCATCAGTATCATATTTAAAAAATTAAAAACTGGAAATTCTAATAAAAATCCTAAACAAACAGCATAAAGTGTGAATACTGAATATCATAGGCTACATTATAAACATGGGCTTTATAGACTATACAGGTGTGATTTGTCTTGAGACTGTTGTGAAATCCTTATTGCACAGGGTACAAGATTGCCATTGTAATGTCTTTTCTTTTAATCATCAGGCCAACCCATTTATGACTGTGTGGACAGAATGAGCACCACCACGGCCAAAACTACACCTCTGACTACCTGCCAAGCTACCATAAAAATCCACTCTGACACGAAAAACCAGTCTATACAAACCAATCAAACTGATCTGTTTTTCACCAGGTTAGACAACACAGCTTTTGTTTTACTCAACTCGATGAATGAATGGTTAAAATGAGATTCATTTGTAGTATGTCTTAAAATGTTTGCTGAAAACTAATCAGATTTTTGTTCTTTTCAGGGCATGGACAGGGGTGCCATTTTGGTATATGTTGCTGCGTTGGGGTTGTTTTGCATCCTTCCTGATTTTCTTGTGCATAGTGATCAAATGTACAAAAGTGAGACACAAACCTGCCAAGAGGAAGGGAAGGAGAGGAAGGCCTAATTTGGCTCAGTGACTTCTTTGGAAGTCATATCAGACCCGTGGTGCTGGGTTGGTAGTTGTATTGCTGTTACCAAGGTTCTCTGATAACACCTGATGTTTTGTCAAGAGTCTGGGTCATAATGTGCGTCAGCGTGTTTAGTTTCTTCTTTATTGTCTTATTGCAACCTTTATAGCAATTTATTTCAAATGATAGCTTTTTAAAGTTTTAAAGTCAACCCAGGCATTTGCTTGCTTTACCAGGATTTCCATTTAATATATTTAAAGAGGTAAAATAAAGAGGAATGAATTTGTCACCATGTTTGCTCAAAAATGCTACACTGTTACTGTATTTGTTAAATAATGTATTGAAATAAAAATATTTCAATAAAATAAAGCAACTAGAGGACTTTTACAATACCAGCTAGGAATGATGACTAATGATGAATCAGGCATTGCTCTGTGATGCTCTGAGAACATTTCCTTATTTGTAAAAATATGAATTTACTTCATCAGACCAAACAAATAGCCTACAGTTAGTGTTTATTTTTCTTCCATTCTTCTTTTTCAATCACGTCATATAATAGAACATTATGAAACAAGGGGCGTGTTTCAGAGCCTGGTCTTTTCAGGAAGCCAACCCACAGATCCTGACCTCAAAAAACACTTTCATTGCAATCGTGTTTGAACCATCTAGGCCCGAATAAGATACATGAAGTAGTGTTGACTTCTAGTATGGCCATTCTCAGGGTGAGAATTTTGCAAAAAACTACTAAGTTTTAATATGCTTTAAATGTCAGAATAATTAAAAAATAAAATGTTTGTAAGTATATTTAGCCACATTAAGTAATGTTTTATTTTGTAGCACTTATCAGTGAAATAAAAGGGAAAAAAGGACTTTCTGAAGAATCCCTACCTTTACTACGGTACATTTGATACAAGGGGTTTAGTGTCTTTTTCATCTTGCTGATATGTAATTTAAGGGAAGTACATATAATACACCTATGTACAAATACAAACAAAAAAAACATTTGAATGCTATCTTGGTAGCATTGAAATGATGGGAAATTGTGACACATCAGTCTTTCATAAATGTCCCAACACTAAGGCCATCTTGACGCCTTCTGTTTAGGCTGTTTAGGGTTAGTGCTCTGTGCTGACAACATAAGGAAGGAAGAGATAAGCTTGTGAGATATGTGTGATTATACACAAGCTGGTTTTGATCTTGCATTAACTTGACTTACTTTCAGTGTTCACTGTTCTCTTTCTTTATTTTCTATTCCATTCTATTCTCTGATTTGGAGCCTTCTGGTAAATAATGCCATATAAACGCTCTTTTGGACTGACTGATAATATCTAGTGACCAGTCTGTTAAGTCATTTGCGCATAATGATATCCGGTAACTTTATTTAAATCTTTATGAGTGTTTTCTTTTTTGCGGGGAAGAACTGTGGTTTTGCTGTAGAAGTGGAAAATGTTCATACTGATTACCCCGAGGGGACTGAGTTTGTTGTTAAAATCGTGGTCACTTGCGACACTGGGTTCGTAATAAATGGATAACTCTGATGGTTCATGTTCAGAGAATTTCTTTTTAAAATGTACAAAGGCTGTGTCCAACCTGTGGCCTTTTGCTGTGTACCATCCCCTCTGTCTCTTCCTCTTTCTTGTCTATCTTCAGCTGTCCCATCTAGTAAAAGACAAATATATATATATACGTTTTACATGTTCTTTGCCTGCAATGGTTCAACTGAAGATCCTAATAAAAAAAGATCATCCACCATTTACCAGTAAAGGTCATAATAATATTATTATATTATTTATTATTTTAATATTTCTCACAGTTCTATGTGCAGTTCTGTTCATTTCAGTTTACTACTAAATTTCTTCAGGATTCACTGCGCATACCTTCCATATGAGAGCTGGGTAATATTTTAACTTTTTTTTTTATTTAAAATTTTTGGGCAGGGGTTTGAGAAAGGGAGTGAAGGTCTTTTCTCATGATAAGAAATTTCCATATCATACATATGTGCCGCTTCCATATTGTGTGCTTCCTATTGCTGGAAAAATCCAGTTCATTTAAATTGGTGTACAACTGTAAGTCTACAACATTTAATGGCAGCATGAATTGATAATATATCAAATTATTGAGATAAGAGATAAGTTACTGTAACAGTACAGATAATTACTCCAGTGTTTGTAGAATGTATTTTAACTAGTTTCACAGCGTTTTAATTATATATAATCACAGATCCTGAGTAGGTTGGCTTTACTGTGATACATACAAGAGTGTGATTTGAGAGACAATGTCAATGAAGGACTGTCTGTAAATAAAAAACTAAAATAAAGCTTGCTGTTGCTGGTGTTTTTGTCTTAGTGAGTGCAAACCAATTACAGGTACTAGTGTGTGGAACTTTTATGAGTGCTATAGAACAAAGATCGTTTCCTCAGAATATAGAGAGATGCAAATGCCTCACCCAGGTATTTGAAAACTAATCTTGTGCACAAACATTGAATCAGCTGTGAGGTGTTTTATGACATGAAAATATACCGTCTGAAAAAATTCCATGTGTAAAAGAATATATGTTCAGCGCTCATCCTGGACACAGAATCATCGTCATCATCTGCTATCATAAGCTAGAAAGCAGAGATATTGCTTGAAATCTGACCCTTACTACTCACATTGTATTGTAGAAACTGTGTGCCATGTTGAACTATTTTGGCTTTTGGATTTGTCTGGTTTTTGCAAAAATATTTATTCTGCATTATTACAACTATAAAGATAAAATATGAATTTAAATGTCAACATAATAAAACTTTGAATTCGCAAATTACCTGTGAAAAGTCCTGTGCAATGGTTTTGGAGGCTCTTTCATCTGGTTGCTATGTAATAACGGGAAGGAAGAACAGAAAAAATTGTGAAAGAAAACGTTTTTTTTACTGAGTGAAGTACATCGCTTCCTCATATTGAATGTACCAGGGTTGGGCCCATTACATCACACTCCATGAATTCTTTGTTCCAGGGTCTACATTGTTAGCACAGGGATTGTGGTTCAATGGTTATCAGAAGACACATCAGTCATAACCATGTATGATTTATATAGAACATAACCTTCACATTCACCATAGAGATCACAACAGTGAAGCCTTCTTTACATCTTTAAGGTTAGTGCTCTATACTGACAATATATGAACCCACCCAACAGCAATATAGTGGCTGCTAGGTACTGAAGAGGGGGGCTTCTAGGCAATGTGCCCATTGGCCCAGGATCACATAAGCTATGTGCGGCAATATTAACAGCTAAAAAGACTTTTGGAGACAGGTTGTAACACATTAGACGGTCTTTACGGACTCAATGCTTGGAAAAAATGATAATGGCCTAATGAGTCATCAGCATTCATAAATGTGCAAAGACTTATGTTTTTGTGTTGTTTGGAGTTTTTGTTAACTTGTGTGTGTGTGTGTG